AGATTTCGAATATTCTCGTAAAACTATTTTTTAATGTAGTATATAACAATAAATCAATTTATGACGAATAATAGAGAGTTTTAATTTTAAAAATATTTTAAAAATTATTTTTTATATATAAATACACATTTTATAATTTTAAAAGAATAGATAATATTAAAAACAAATTTCTCCTTATATGAAATTATATAATTAATCACATGAGATTGAAAATAAATTAGAACTAACCTCAGAAAGTACAACATTCATCCTTGTCAATAGAGTCAGTAAATTTTAATAAACTTTAAAATATTATATGATCATCTCAAAAAAATTCATAAATAAGGAATAAATTTTTATATAAAACTCTAATTATAAATCAACATAATTAAGTAACAATATAATTTAAATTTGTCTTATAGAATGCTCAAAATAATTATCACACATTTATAAGTAAACATGTTAACATTATATTAAGAATAATGTGGTACTATAATCGATTCACTAAATTTTAACATTATTCAAATAATATGATTTGGACATTTGTTGAAATTTTATGATTTGGACTATTTTTAATATAATTAATTAATAATTAATTATTTTAATCTATATTTAATTAATTAAATAAAATTTAAAAAAATATTTCTTTTGAATATTAAAAGTTTTTTTATATTTATTTTTTTAAAATTAAAAGACTAATTTTGACATTCTATAACATAAACCTATATTATTGAAGATCAAAACATAGTCAAAATCACAATTTTTTTAAAAAGTTACATCTCAAAGAATGATTTTTATAAAAAGTTATTTGAAATAGTTTTAAAATTGAGTGATTTTTTAAAATCTTGATATTCAGAATTTTTTTTGATAAAATGATAAAATACCTAAAATAATATTTTTAAAATAATTATTTAAATCAAATTTTCATCTAAAACTTTTATGAAAAAAAATTTTATAAATATTTTTTACATCAAATATATAACACCATAAAAATCATTAAAAAAAAAGAGAGAAAACAAACATGAAACAGATTTTATGAATTATTAAGAGTTAATGGGTTAGTATAGTTATTATAAAGGAATACTAATTATTATTATTATTAAAATTGGTATAGTAGCATTTTTTTGCCTTTTATATTAATTAATTATAATTATAATAAATAAAAAATCACCTATATATACAAAGAAACATGGTTGAAGGTTTTATGAATTATTGAAAGTTAATGGGGTTAGTTGAGTTATTATAAATGATGACTTAATAACAACAACATAAAATACTTATAGTAGTATTATTTTTTTTGCCTTTTTAAATTAATTAATTATTAATTATAACTAATAATTATAAAAATAAAAATAAAAGAACTAATCATTTATAACCATTATTTTCAGAAAAGAAGATATTTTTGGTTGAAGCAAACAATTTTAGTATAGACTATGCATCATAATTTTTATCCTTCTTATTAATTAATTATAAATATAAGAAAATCAATAAATACAAGTTTATTTTGAATATATTAGTGATTATTATTATTTATTTATTTAGTATTACATTAATATTAATTAATAATTAATAGGTTTTTTTTAGTAAAGTGGAGTTCTATAGCGCATATTATATTTTATTTTGAAAATATATATTTTTATTATTAATTAATTTAATATTATTGATTCAAGAAATGTATGTTATTAAATAAAACTTTTAAAGGGAAAAGATTTAACAAATGCCCGGTTGATCAGTGGTAATATTTTTATAGAGGAAAATAAGTTTATTATTTATTCAAATATTTTTACAAATAATGTCAAAATAAAATAATATTTACATTAAAAAATATAATTTGATTTAAATATTTTTATATATAAAAAATTATAGTTGAATATATATTATCTCTTTTAAAAATAATACATTTTTTTTATTAAACTTTTTTTTTTCTTTCATTTCATTTTTATTATATTTTAAAAGAAATGTGCATACCAATACTTGTATGCACAGATATTTTAGTGGTTACAACTAAAACTAATGTTAGTTATTCAAATAATTAAATTGTTGTCACACTTTTCCATGAATATATAAAAAAATCTTGCTAACGAATATTTTAGGAGTACTCTTCAAATATTCTAAATAAATAAAAAATATTTTAAAGAAAAAGTTAACAATTTTAATTTTCAACGGCATTAAATACCGACATTTTTCAGAAAAACTCACTATTTTAAAGTCAGTCGTTAGGATTTTCTATATATACAAAAAAATGAAAGATAGTCAATTAAGAATGTCATTTCTAGTGGTGAATAATATAAACATTTTATCCCTGACATGGTCTATAAAATCAATAGATTTTCTAAGCCACAGTAAAAATAGTTATGTTGGTAAAGCATAAGACCACAAAAACAATTTTTTAAGTCAGTACTTATGCAACAAAAGTACAATGAACATCTATAGAAAAACTGATAAAATTAAGGATCACACAGAGGAACTGAGAACCATCGATCTAAATTACTTATGGTACAAAAGAAAAGTCTAATGACCAAGATAAAGGGCCATTTATTTTATGTAACTCTAACTTAGGCAGAAAATTCACACTCTGCAATTTTTTATTGAACACACTATCTACATTCTGCACCTAAAATTTTGACATACACACTTTCATGTTTTTTTTTTATGTTGACAAGTCATACCTTACATGCATTTATAAGTTAGCATCACAGTTTTCTGTTTTCTAAGTTAGCATCACAGTTTTAGTGTTTAGCTATTTGTAACTGCCGCAATAAAGATCCGGGGAAAGAATTATGTGACTCTTGGTGACTAATTTATTCTACAAGAACAGTTGGCTGCAAAATTAGTGAGTCAAGGAAATGGTGAACTCAAAAATGCTGAGTAATATCATCAATAACAGTAGAAACAAAAATCTGTGTTAGTCTTGCTTATAAACAACTGTAATCACTAAATTGCATACTTATTGATTCATAAGCAGGTTTAGAGAGAGGGGTTGTATGCCTTTTTGTCATGTTAAATTTATAGACCTTAGCTGTCCGAAGAATTTGCTGCTCTGCATAGGTGGCTCGGGAAGAAACCCCAATCTGCTACAGAGTAGTTACACTTTGTATCTATAATCCGATACTACCATTATTTTCAGGTTGTTGTGACTAATTTTGTAATTTAATGGTATTATTTGTTGGATCCAAACCTCACACTTTCACTCACGGGCCACTTGAACGGAGAGGGAAAAGAAAGGAAACTAAGATAAGATAAAAAAAAAAAGGGAAGGTTTTGTGGAAAATGGTGTTAGAAGAGGCCACGATGGCAGCGAGAAACATTGACTCCCTGGAAAGAATCTAGCTCTAGATAACAATAATTGGAACCAAACCTCAACCATAATTTCAATCACACAACAGTTGAACAGAAAGAAGAGGGAAACTTAGAGAGGACGGAAAAGTATTCACTGAAAATATTCACACTATTATTACACAACGAAACAATTATGTATACACACTATAAATAAGTCCCACACTAGTAAGGCTTATTCATTAAGCACAGTTACACAACTTGTCACTTCTAATTCTTACCAACACTAATGTAACACCTGAATACACTAACTGTTTCCACACACACACCTTTGTTCACCTGGTCTCTAGGGAAATGAAATTTGATCTCTATATATTTGCTTCTGGCTTCTCCCATGTGCAATCGGGTGTTAAGCTAGATAGAAAGCTATCTTTTGGGGACTACTGTATTGTTTTCATACATTAACAAACACCAAAAGAACGGAGAAAATACAACCTTAGCCATTCTATCTTTTGGGGACTACTGTATTGTTTTCATAACATTAACAAACACCAAAAGAACGGAGAAAATACAACCTTAGGAATGGCTGGATACAATCTTTGAGTCTCTGTTATGGCTGTATGTGAGGTCCCCTTAGTCACTTTGAAGCAGGGTTACAGCACAGTCTTCCTTAACTTGATTTCTCTCATGTTATGAGCTCTAAGTAAAGTTTGTCAGCAACATGAGCATGTGTCGTTACCATATAAATAAATAGCCTGTGATAGAGTTGTTGCAGTTGTGTCCCAACCTGCAATTGCAATGTTCAAAATAACCTCACTGACTTTTGTCAACTGCATTGTTTTCACCCAATTATATGAATTTTGATAATATATCATTTTTTACCTGTTTCATTAATTAGAGGGATTTATTAATATGAAAGCTTAGATTTCAACTCCAATGTTAGGTTTGGATACATGATTTCTTAGATGTTACATGATTGTTGGCCACTCTTTTTAAGCACCCTCTATCTCTATCTTCCTTCTCTGAATTACAGAGTATGGGAAAACATGGAAGAACTTGATGTTCTTGTCGTGTTTCCAAGATTACATTTCAAACATTCTTAATATACAACAAAGGAGATGATCTGAAGATGCCCCTCTCTCCGTAAAAACCTTTGTAACCAGTGGAGTCTAATTTCAGCTACTAGAGAAAGGTTTAAATTTTAGTCTTTAAAGAATGAGATGAATCGTAAACAGTTTTACCTTTGGCAGCATCAATTACCCACCTCACAGGTGGGAGCCTTGTTGAACCTTCTTCCCTTCACTTGTTTATAAATCAAATATACCAGTAGTTAGGAGCAATGCGGAGCTAAATCAGCTTCAACATCCACTCAATTAGTTGAGGAAGTATTCGTAAACTAAGCTTTTTGAGAAGACTCTACCAATAGTATGCTTGAAGTTTAGGCTAGGTGCTGTGTGCTGTTTCACAGTAGAAGGTACGTTATTTCACAATAAACTGTGCAGTTTGAGCTGAATGCAACCCAACATGTAATCACAAAAATGCAATACTTATGATAATTCTTCAATTGCAGTGTCATTTCTGAAGATAACACAGGTATATGCAGAATGAGTGAATGATGAATTACAGGCTAGTACAAGACACCAAAGTTCCGACTTATCAAACTCAAAAGTTGATTACTTTATCCATAAGAACTCCAAATGTCCACTGAATGTATCTGGCCCATCTTCAAAAGGGAAGAAAACATTTCAGGCAACAAGGTCAACTTCATCTCGTCCTGGGGAAACAACGTCTAATCTCATCATGCTCCTATATTGATCAGGAACGGGAGCCCCAGCATGGACACAGAGTTCCACGACAGCAGGAGCCTTTCCATAATATCTCTTCAAATTGTTATTCAGAGCAGGTCCGTTCAGATCCTCAACATGCCAAACATAATTTGGACTCACAATATCATCTAATGTTGCCTCTTGCCATGCATGTAAACCATTCCGAGACTGATGCTTTGAAGCCTTGCACATTCTTAACTTATGCCCCTTAGGACCAACCTGAACCTCAGGACAATATCCACAAGCATTCACAACATACTTCTCCATGATCTTCTTTGCACCTGATGTCATCTCAAACCATGAATTCAATGTATGTGTACTTAAATCCCTTAATTTGTTTCGTTCTTCGTCACTCAACTGCTCCATGTGGCTTATTTTGTTCTCCACTAGATTTTGGATCTTCTCTACAGGCTTCATCAACATAGAGGATGATGAATCCATTAAAGGGTCGACATTTCCAAAAGAGCATTTTCCTTCAAATCCATTATCTTCCACAACGGATTCAAAATCTGCAATTCTTCCCTCGATACAATATACAGGTTTGGTCCTCCTCTTTGTGGGATATTTTTCAAGGTCTAGACCCGCTTGTATGCAGAGTTCAACTATGGCAGGGATACGAGGAACACTAAACCTCTCATCATGCCCAACCCTTGGTTTGCCAACACGGTCATAGAGATGAAAGCATTTTGCGAAACGAAACACATCTCGAACGCCTCCCCTTCTCCAAACATGACTTGCATTCTGCAGCCAACTTTTTGGTCCAGTACAAGTTCGAATTTCATGACCCACATAACCAATGTGAACCTCGTTACAAAGCCTGATAAATCAAAACAATAAGTGTGAAGCTAACAAATACAAGCCAATGCAACCTATTCTATTTCCACTCCAAAACAGTAGAAAGCCCAGATTATTGACACAAAAATCCACCACTTAAAAAATCAAATGTTGCTAACTATAAAGCATAGACACCCCCGAACACGACAGTAACACGGAAACACCGGTAATAATTTAAAAAAATATATATATTAAATTAAAGGTAACCACACCAAAACATCAATTTGTTGCTTATGCAATGCAATTTCCCACGCCTCTTAATTTCATGACTATCATCAATTTCTACTTCAGAATTAAAAAAAAAAACAATCAAAGATTAGAGAGAGAGCATACTCGCAGCGCAAGACAGGAATGACTCGGACGAGTTGACTCAAACCAGAAAGTAGATAGCCTCGAGCTCGATAGACACGATGAGCAACTTCCACAAGCTCCGGCACCAGCAATCCGTTATCGGGAGGTTCTTCCAGAACTCTACAAGGTTGTGCCTTTCGAGCCTCCCTCTCTGCCTTCGCCCTTGCAATCAGAACCTTCATTGGCGTCACGTACGGCTTCCTCTCCGACTTTATCCGGCTAGGGTTGGGAATGTCGGAATATGGGAAATCATCGCCAGGCTCTTCTTTCACCGGCACAACCACCGATGAGAAGGAAAGGCTAGAGTTAAGGCGGTGAGATAGTCGATTTAGGAGAGAATGTTGCGAGAAGATGACTGTGAAACGCATGCCTCCGCCGATGTACTGAGAAATGAAAGTGGCGGAGCACCGGCGAAGTGACGAACTTAATCCAGGAATTGTTCTGGTTCAACTTTTCTTTGAATATTTAAAAATGAACTGATGGGGAGTGAAATTGAGCGAAAATGGGTGAGAGGGAGGTTTTGTTCTAACACTCACATCCACATTCCAGAGTGACTTCACTTTGATTATTCAAATGGACATATATTTTTTATATTATTTTAAAATTTTCAATTATTTAATTAATTTTGTGGGAAAAAAAAAAGTATTTAACTTATTTATTTATATTTTTTAAATATTCCTAGAATTTATTAAGAACCTAATACACCACATTTATATTTTACATTTATTAATAAAAATATATATGACAAAAATAAATTAAAAGTGGGGATCAACTTACTCCAAGAATAAGTTTTTTTAAACTTACTCCACATCATAACCTTTAAATGGAATATAATCTATGGGTTAAATTAGCATTTTTACTTATAATCATTCGATTAAATCTAGTTTAAAGGTTATAATTGTGAAATGAGTTATAAAAACTTACTCTTTGAGTAAGTTGATCACCGCTCATAAGTGTGTGTGTGTGAATAAATTAATTTAAATATAAATATATAAATAAAATAAAATAAAAAAAATATTTAAATATATTAAAATTAACATAATACAGAACACAAATGTATTATAAAAATATAAAAATCATAAACGCCAAAATAAACTATTAGCACAAAATATATGAAAAATATAAATTTAAATAAATTTTCAATTGTGTTATTTTGGATCGAACTCTACTCTCGATAGGAATAGTTTAGTTGAAGTTTGTTCAAGCATGTAAGAATCGAAGATGTGCATGTTATATAGTCGAAGCATGTTTTAGCATGCAGTTGTATAAGTTAGTTTGTTGCTTAAGTTAGCTTAGTGTTTAAGTTATCTTGTAATCTATAAATAGGTTGCTCTCTCAGGTTGTTGAGAAAGGGTTAAGTGTTGTTTGTGTTATTCACATGTAATCTTTTACCATAATTGGAAAAGTGAATAGAAAAACGATTTAACCAATTCATGTTTTTCTTCTTCCCCTTCTCTCTCTTTGCTAAAACCAAAAGAGTTTCTTTTGTTTGTTCAAGAAACTCAATATTTCTCATAGTTTTATTCGTTCCTGGTGCGGTGTGTAACACCCCCTTTTATACCCCCCAAATAAACAATAAATCACATAAGCACATAATAAATTTCATCAGAGTAAATTTGAAACATGGTATAAAAGAAGTATGCCACATCATTCACCAAAATAACATACGTCACCTGCTCTATAAAAGACATGCAACAGTGGGGTAGTTCAACAGAGGAACTTAGTCCTACACCCACATCTCAATATTTTAAAATTAAAGCGGAAGATTAAAACATTTGAATCATTTAAAACATGTTATCATATAAATACATAATTCAGTTTGTTCATCACACCATTCATGTTTACAAAACATTACCATCAGATACATACACAAAATGTATCTCAAAAGAATACTATACAGTCCTAACTACCCGGTGCTACATATCAGAGCATAACCGACCAAAAGAATGAAGCTATACTTCATAAAAGACCTCCAGCAACCTAATCTGCAATGCCTCATAGAGCATTATAAAACAGCAGAAGGGTGAGAAATATTATCATAATAATCAAGGCATATAATTATACATATACATACACAAGTATAGAACACATACATTTCACATTTCTCACCACAATTCATTCTAATCATCATATACATCACAACATATGTGTAAACAAACATGGATAATACCAAGCACATTTCATCATGCATACATCCATAATTCTCAATTCAATACTTCACATAAGAGTATACTTTCATACAATAATACACATTAATCATGTGACTCAATGCAACTCAATGCAACTCATGCCATGTGGTACCAACACTTGTTATCATTTTTCCGTTTTTACACTTAAACCGGGTCCACCCTTCTAGACCGATAACAACAAAAGTCTGTTCCCTAAGCTTTCAAATCCACCCTTCTAGGTTTGGGACAAGTCACTAGTCTCCACGAAACTAGCAAACATTGCCTCTTGACTAAATGATGCATATGCAATCAACCACCAAATTCACTTAAGACCGTTCTCGCATCTTAATCCCATGCATTCAAATAATTCATCACTCAAGAATTATAACATGATTGCACACACAACATATTCATATATCATTAATATATTCATCAAGCAATGCACACATATTCACAATATGTTCTCATGCATTCTATTCATACAATCTCGTACAAACAATGTATATTCACCACATAGTGCTCACGGCAACAAATTCTATAACATTCATCATGCAATTGAATCAATTAAGACAATGCATTATATTGTCAAAAGACCACATTTCATAATCAATTCCACAATCTAGGATTCACGCTATACAGCTACCCACAGCATATATTTCACAGTATACAACTACTCATTTCCAACAAGGATCGAACACAATCGAACAAAGAAATCAACATGGAATGGAATCACAAGAAAACCAAATGATGTCACGCTCGCTGGCTTGCTCGCCTAGCGAGTCTCTAGCGAATACTCGCTATCTGTTCGCCTAGCGAACAAGCTCGCGAAGGCAAACAGAAGCTACTGACTTCGCTCGCCACCTACTCGCTGCAGCGAGGCCCTAGCGAATCCTTCGCCACCTCACTCACTACCAGCGAACCAGATCAAATGCATTATGTCCAAGTCTGGGACCTCTCGCTAACTTGTTCGCCCAGCGAGTTGCTATCGAATGTTCGTGACCTATTCGCTTAGCGAAGGTGCTAGCGAACATCTGCGAACTCAGAAATTCCCACTGTCCAAAACTCCGAAACTCACCAAATCCATCCGATTCAATCCCGACTCGTTCCCGCAGCCTTAGCCTAGCATTCATCGACTAAACTTTACCACTTATTCTCATTTTCGACCGTTAAAACTCGGTTTCTATCGATTAAATCCACTTTGTCCTAAAATGGAAGTTGTAGAAAAACATCCAACAATCTAACCCAAGCATGTAATACCCTTCTAAACCCCACGGATAATATATGAATAATCAGAGTAAATTTCCATGCATTTACAAAAGGGCATTACACATTCGCGACGGTAAAAATCAACACAACAATATGTTTTCAATTTTCTGCTATAATTGAACCAGGTACAGGCCTCAAAGCCATTTTTTCTAGAAAGATAATCTCGTTAACTCACCAACGCTTCGAACGGGGGTCAAAACCGACTTACGGTTCAAGAGTTATGAATTTTTGAAGTTTTCCGAAAAACCAGAATTTTGCCTAAACACGGCTACGGGATTTTGCATTTTCGACCGAAAATCCGACCGATTCAATTCTTTTTTTCGAAACAAACACATACTCATACTCACCTAACATATAAAAGTGAATTAGAACCATTAAACACGATTTCTACGACGTCCGATTTTCACTCAAATCTCAAACCCTCAATTATCCAAAAATGTCAAAACTCACAAACTCAACCAAATTCAATCAAACGAAATCCAATAATCACGGCTAAACATTACCCGACTAAACTATGCAATTTATTTTGAATTCTAACCGTTCAAAACTCGATTCTATCGATTTAACTCATTTGCCCTAGAAATGGAAAATAGAGAAAAACACCCAACAAATCCAACACAACTCATACATAATCATACACGTTGATCAAATAATAATGTTTCTCACCCTTACCTTGATTGGATTGAAGCTTGAAGTTGATTCTTGATGATTTCTCCAAGTTTCCCTCTTTTCTTCTCTTTTCTCCTCTTTCTCTATTCTTTCTCTCCTTTTCTTTCTTTCTTTCTCTTATGTTTCTATCTCTTTTCTTTTCTCTCCAATTTCCCTTATATATCCTTTTATTTTCTTTCCATCATAATTCTTCTCTCAAAAATATCTATCAATTCATTTCTCACAAAATATCTCATTTTATCATTAATTAGAGAATATCTAATAAATCCACATTATTCTACCAAGTAGAATAAATTAATTAAATCCATTAACTCATTTAAATAAATCCAATAGTTTATTTAAATCAGATAAATCACATAAACCAATTAATTAGCACAATTAATCACTTATTGAAAATTTGGGCTGTTACAACCCTCCCCCACTTTAGGAATTTTCGTCCTCGAAAATGTTACCTGATTCAAATAACTTTGGATACGACTCTCGCATCCTAATCTCCCAACTACCTCCACCAAAGGAATCTCTATACCTCGAAGTTGCTTCTCGTTCATCAACCTGAACTGGCAATGTCTCAACAATCAAATCCTCTCTCACTCATACACTATCCATCTGAATCAATGCACTTCCTCAACTTAGACACATGAACAAATCATGCAATTCCCACAAGCGACAGCAGTAAAACAATCTAACATGCTATTTTCTCCATGCTTCCGTTGCGCCACTCTGATACAGATCAACAAAACACAGTGGGTGCTTCCGAGACCTCAAGCTCGACCGACACCAGTTACTATTGTAACTCTCGAAACACGTCTTTTCTTGGGTCCTTTTAATCTTTCTAGTCGTCTCTTGCACAATATCAGGTCCGAGTACAACACTCTCGCCTGACACACATCAACACAAAGGATTCCTACACCTCTTACCGTACAAAGCCTCATACAATGTCATTCCAATACTAGAATGATCATTGTCATTGTAGGTAATTCAAGCAACGATAATTAACTATCCCACGATTCACCTTGATCCAACACACAAGCTCTCCACAAATCTCCTACATACTAGATAGTTCTCTTTGTCTGTCCATTCCGTCCACGGATGCTAGACAGAGTTCAACTTCAACATGACACCCAAAGCGTCTACAACTTTCTCAAAATCTCAACAAAAAATCAGATTCCCATCTGACACAATATTCGACGGTAACCCATACTACCCCGCAACTTCCTCACTATACCTCTTAGCTAGCTTCAACATAGAATGATTCATCCTCATTA